AGAGCATGAGTTCCCTTAACCCCCCCCCCCCCCTCACCCTCAAATCCAAATAAATCTGTAAATCAACCCCACCCCCCACACACACTCTGGATTACTAAGAGGGACCCAAGATCCAAACAGCAAAAAGACTGATATACTTCATAACAAAAATTCCTCCCAACTTGGGAATTGAACTCGGGTCTCCTTGGTGAGACAGCGAAGCGCCTAACCACTACACCACAGATGCCAGTTAAAGAAACAAACATAACAAAAACCCCCCCCAATAAATTCATTTTTAAAAGTAACACTACCAACATACCCCATCCCCCAAAAAACCCAAAACCAAACAAATAAACGAAAAAAGATGATCCAAAACAACAACCAAGTATCACCTTCTTGATAAGGGCCTCCAGATCCTTCATCTCAAAACTGTGTGGGTTCCTCACGTCCAAGTGGCTGGGGATCTCCATGTTCTTGATACCTCCTGGGGGAAGACAAAACACTGACCTATGACGACCAAGGACGACTCCGGGACTTTGTGAAAACACTCAAACAGTAAGTAAAGGAGTTGATTTCATCAGTTTCAGTCAGTTTTACAGCATTTGCAACACAATTGGGTCATATAAGTAAGAGCCCAAGATTAGAGGTGTTCCTTGAGAGCAGTATATAAAAAAAAAAAAAGGAAGGAGGAGAGACACACCTGATAGATGCTTAATTGATAGGAAAGAAGGGGCATGGATAAGTGGGATTTTGTGAACCTGAACATACAGACCGAAGGGCTAGAACCCAAATGGCCACTGGATCAGAAAAGTAAAAGTAAGTAAAGTGAACTTGAACATGAAAACAGTTGCATTTGTAAACAACAAGACAATAGATATAAGACTAAAATGGGTTTCACCATTAAACAATTAATACTTTGAAAAATAACGGTTCTTCTAGAGAAAATCACAGAAATAACCGACCCCCCCCCCCCCCACCGAAAAGCTGCATCGACTGTACAACCCTTACTGTGAGATTTTGGGACACTACATGAGAAAGTTTAAAAAATGAGTTAGGCCATACTGGTAGCACCATGACGACATAAACATATCTCTATCTGAGCACACTTCCGATTTACACAAGCCCATCCTGAACAAAAAAAAAAGAATCATGGATATAGATAATGTATATGATATATACTACACACACACACACATATATATATATACTAACACATACATAACACATAGTGTTTACAGATCTTATTATTCTTGAACACAATTAATCCCTAACTGACCTGGACAGCAATGATAAACAATTTTGAAGCACAAACTGGTAAAAAAAAAAAAGCGCTAAATGACTGGGAATGGGGGGGGGGGGGGTAAAAGGGGCATATAATAAAATGATCGGGGACGGGTGGGGAGATGGCTGGACTCCAACATTTTTCAGATTCTCAGGGGCGTAGCAAAAAAGGAAAAAAAAACCCAACTGAGTTCGAAGCATAAAAGCTCAGCCCATGGTTGTTTCCCTAAACAAAATGCCCTAAACAGGGAACTGAACCGGCAGAATTTTTTCCTCTAAGAAACAATGCTACTGTAACAGTCGGCCATTCTTTTGTCGTTTTTTTTTTTTCGTTTAGTGTTACAAAGAGTTTTACAGCACTTGAAACACATTTAGGTCATATAAGTGCCAAGGATTAGAGGTGTTACAAGAAAGTAATATACAAAGAAAAGGAGGAGAGATAAAGATGACAGATGTTGGATAGGAAAGAAGGAACAAACCACATCAGAGCACCCACCAACAACCCACTTTTTTCTGTTGAGTTCTGGGGTGTTAAGGATACAGTACAGCAACAGTTAGAGACACTGAAAAGAGAGGTTATTTGCCTGCTCTCATGAAACACACACACACACACACACATATGATGAGGTGACTTCAGCCTTGCAAAAAACAAAAAAAATTAGTTAAACACACGTATAAATCACACATTGTACAAATAAGTAGATATATATATATAAACGATATGTCAACAAATCACACTGCAAAGTGGAGCCAAGACTACAAACACGCTTCTATTAAAAATAAGCAGACGTAGGTAATACATGAAAACAAAAAAGATCCCCCAAAGCTAAAACAATACCCCCCCCCCCATTTTTAAACAAGTTATATAAATCCAAACGTGGTCATAATATACCAACTTGCACACATCCTCTCCCATAAAAAAATCCCCATCCCCACAGAGAGAAAAAAAAACTAAAAAACGAACAACTCTTCAGATCAATCTTTGTACCAACTCTCTGACATTACCAGTGCCACACCTGGACCCTCAACAAAGTGTGTTGTAAGAGAAATGAAATGACTCACAGGCACCTGGTGCACTAACTGACCCTGAACACCCATTCTTGAAAAGGAAAAAAAAAAATTGTTTTCTCAACAAATTTGAGTTTGAGTAAAAAAGAAGCACATTGACACAATAATAATGGTGTCATTTAGTGCTGGGAAAACGTTAGACAGACAGTAATAACTACAGAGGGAAAGTCAAGAAGAAGTAGGACCTACATGTGGCACCCTCCAACCACCCGCTTTCTCAACAAAGGGAAGTAGGTCTACAGAGCAAAAATTGAATGTGATAAGCAGAACGGCATATATGACCTTAGCAGTTGCGAGCGCCGTAAAACCTTATACTATACTATACTAAGCAGAACGGGAGCCTCACATTTAGTGAGACATCATGATAAGCAGAACGGCATATATGACCTTAGCAGTTGCGAGCGCCGTAAAACCTTATACTATACTATACTATACTAAGCAGAACGGGAGCCTCACATTTAGTGAGACATCATGATAAGCAGAACGGGAGCCTCACATTTAGTGAGACATCATGATAAGCAGAACGGGAGCCTCACATTTAGTGAGACGACATGATAAGCAGAACGGGAGCCTCACATTTAGTGAGACGACATGACAAGCAGAATGGGAGCTTCACATTTAGTGAGACATCATAATAAGCAGAACGGGAGCCTCACATTTAGAGAAACATCATAATAAGCAGAACGGGAGCCTCACATTTAGTGAGACATCATTTGAGGATTGGGGGGTGGGGGGGTGGTGGTGGTGGTGAAGGGGCAACTTAGGTGGAGGGAGATGTAGGGTTGGGTTCGCTTGAGGAAAATCGATAAATTATCTTAATAAACTGCCAGATATCAAAGAGATTTACGACAACTGAAGCTGCAAGAAGCTGGATCACAGGAGAAGTCATAAGGTTTTAGTAAAAGCCACAATATGAGAAAAATAAATGTTATTTCATATGTTGAGGTCTTTAATACAACCTTTTTAATATCGAGAAATTACAAGAAGGTTGTTTTTAAAGCCTGAAAGGTTTATAATTCAGCCTTTTAATGTTAGGAAATCCCGACTTCTCTGAACCACTCTATTTTCCAAACATTTTTCTATTTCCCCCATTACTCTACACCACTATATTTTCTAAACTTCTCTACACCACTATATTTTCTAAACTTCTCTACACCACTATTATTTTGTAAACTTCTCTACACCACTATTATTTTGTAAACTTCTCTACACCACTATATTTTCTAAACTTCTCTACACCACCACTATTATTTTCTAAATTTCTCTACACTACTCATTTCTCTCTAATTTCCCCGCTCTATTTTCCCCAATTCCTCAATATCAGTCTTATCCCCCCCCCCCCCCCCCCCCCACTTCCCCTTCATCACTCCGTCATCCTCACTTCTCTCTGTTTCAGTGTTGAGGTTTTTGATACAAGGACAGCTTTTCCTGATCTATAAGGTGTTGGGTGCATTGATTTGTCACTGGACTGCTTTTAGAAAACTTAAGCTTTCTTTCTAATCAGTTCCCCTATCAACAGCTGTTACCCGTAGGTCCCAGGTAGTTTTAATATTAATAATATGAATAATCATAAATTTTACTTCTATAGTCCGTTTCCACGAAGAAAGTATTCGATGTGCTTAATGATAAAACAAAGAATATGATTTCTCTTTGTTTCTTTTCTTCTCTCTCTCTCTCTCTCAGCTCACTTCTCTGTACTTAAGGAAAAAACCAGGAGCTTTACGGGAAAGTTGTGAAGGTCTACGTGTATGTTTCTCTGTGCTACCGTGTCTTCCAGGGTGTCATGATCATGAATTAACGTAATTACACGTTGAGCCCATTTATACAGTCTCATAGTCATAGTGAAAGTTGTCATTATGTAAAACAATTATCACATTGATTTAAAAAAAAAAGTTATTTGTGTAACTCACTTATTCAAACATCTATTACTTCCATTTGTTGAAATCGCCAGACACAAAACAATTAAATTTTCTTTAAATTCACTTCTAAACTTACATCCAATAAAAAATTACCAAACTTTACAAAGAATTTTTACGGTACATTCTCTCATTGAGCAAAACTAGTAAAACTTAAGGTCTTTATGTACTTTTATCTAAACAGTAGTACAACCAGGTCTGGAAAGCCGACACAAATACCATCTGCCCACTGAGATAAGAAGAAAAATATTGATCTAAAAATATACAACACAAGAGAGGCTACAATAAGAGGTGTGCGAGTACTTGGGTCCACTTGAGTACTTAACCCCTGCGAGTACTCACTCTGATCTGAAACCTCCGAGTACTCGTGTAATTACTCGAGTATTTTACAATCACTTGAGTATTTATACTCAAGTACTCATTTGAGTACCTTATACTTACTCGCACCCACACTCGAGTCCAAAATACCGGACTCGCACAACCCCTAGCTACAATCACTCAATCTAAAAAAAATAATTTAAAAATCACGTAGTGCAAAACTGAAGGATGCACTCAGCATGCAAAAAGCCCAAACAAAGGAGGGTGGTCGAGGTGGTGTGACAGTGACAGTCAGGCCCAGGAGGTGGAGGGCAAAAAAGCCTCGTACCACACACACACGTTCACGAAACAACGATGTTACCTCCGAGCAGGGCATTCATTATCAACTCCGTACCCGAAACGGCCTGCATCTCGAGACGAGCCAGGTCCTGAAGTCGAGCCACCTCCCGGCGTTTGATCTCGTCCAGGGATGTGCGGATCGTGTGGTTCACCATCTCCAGGTACATAGCGATCTTGCCACTCTGTGGGGGTGGGGTGGGAGGAGGGAAACAGAAACCAAGTTGCAGTTTAGATTTATTTTTTTTAAATGTAGCTGTTTTTACGCCCATATCAATTTTGATCATTTAGGAGGCTGGCTTCTGACCCTGCCGTCAGGGCCAACCCTGGCTGAGGGGGATACAACATCTCAGCAGACAGACTGAGATACTTTATAACTTTATAATATTTCTCCCCACTTGGAAATCAAACTCTCACATGATGTGAAGTCTTGCAGTCACATTTTGATGCAGCTAAGCTTTAGCACGGCTGTTTTTAATAAAAAGACACACCAGGACAATAAAAGTAATTCCCCGCCATCTTTCCCCATCCATCATTTATTCAACTATAGATCCCACTTTAAAAACACAATGACAAGGCTACTTGGGTACATCATACATTTCAACTGCTCAGAGTAAGACTCAGTCATGCGTCACTTTTCAAAGTGTTGTAAGGCGAAGTATCAGATTAAACAGTCGATCTGACTTTTTATAAAACTATTATAAACTAAGGCAAGAGAACTAGAGCCTCAACATCTCCCCTCACCCTGCCACACACTCATGTATTATATCAGTAAGTGCTGCCTAGAAAATATATGATAATATATATAAGATAGGCTTACAAATGCATTCCTTCTCAGAATCTGCAAAAGGAGGGTCAAATTTGTATATTTTCAACCGATGTTATTTTCTTCTAGTTTAACATGTCATGTTTGTTATTATTTCATATTAACAGATTTACAAACTCAACCAATAGATTTGTCATACACGGTTAAAATTCGAGACGTAACTCATTTTGCCAGCATGCCTCATATATGATGATATTCATCAACAGACAGGGCATAAAAGAAGGCAAACTTTACAGGTGAAGCCGAGTCCAATCTTTATTCTAGTTAGCTATCATCACTGACCAATGGTGCATACTCAACAAGGGGGGCTCTCGTGGCCTAGAGGTTAAGGTGTTCGCCTCAAAAGTCCCGGGTTTGAATCCGGGTAGTGACGGAAAAATTTTCTTCTCTATAATTGTCTCCTACCACCTCCTTTCCTGCTCTCCAATAATGTTCTGTCATCTGCTTTCGTCTCCATTTTCTGCCCCCACCCCCTCACCTCCTTTGCCCCCTCCTCTGGGCTCCTGACTCTTTCTGCAGCCTTTCTACTGCAACTCTATGGCTCCTTCTTATTGCTGTATTTCAGCCACACCCCTGATCTTCTGGTAGGAAAGATCTACACCTGGTCTTCTCGGACAAGGGCAAAAAATCTCGGAGGTCTTGTGTGCAAGTTGCGCACGTTAAAGATCCCTTGGTGGTCTAAAATCAATAGGAGTAGGCTTCGGCCGCCATCTGAGCAAAATTCAAAATTCCCTACCAACTGAAAATGTTTAATGTGTCCCGCCCGCTCACATGACCTTATGCAGTTGTGAGCGCCGTAAAAAATAATAATTACTCAACAAGATCTGGGTCGCTTTAGTCAGAATTTTACATAACTATAGATCTATAGAATTTCAAAGAGATTACCTTAATGTCTGTAACATTTGCAGTCTCCAGTTTCTTCCTAAACTCTGAGTCACTCTCCAGCACCTCCACAACTTGTCGTAGATACGAGTCATACGCTAGCCCTGTGTTGTCCTGTGTGGGGCATAGAAACAACAATTATTAATCACTGCAAAACACAACAATGAGTTTAATTTTAGCAAGAGTTTTATAAAAGGCACTTGCAACTCAATTTATATATGGTCTTTTATACGTGTCGAATATTAGAGATGTTACAAGAGAGTAACAAACACAAAAAAAAGGAGGAGAGATAAAGACGATAGAGATGCTTGATGGGAAAGAAGGAGCAGACCACACCAGAGCACCCACCAACTACCCGCCAGCAATGAGTTTCACATTTACGAAAACTGTCAGTCCACATGTTCTCTTTAACACTTTGCCGCCTCATCTCGCCGACAGGAGATGTGTACCACCCAGTTTCTTTGGATTTTCCCCAAAATATGATGGCAAAGTGTTAAAGTTAAAAGTCCAGTCATCTTATTAGGACAATCAATGAATATTTTGTGTAACTATATCAAACCCAAACATAGCATGCGTCTCTTGATTTAAAAAAAAAGAATTTTTAGAGGTAGGCGAGATACTTCATGCTGAACTAGAGCATGATAAAACAAGCAAATACTACAGCAACTGGGCATTTTGTAACACTACTATATTATTTAGAGAGTTTAAACAGCAGTTTTCCCCTTCAAATCCTCTATGATCTGAGACTGAGATCACACTTCAGAGGAAATACTTCCAAGACAATATATAATCTTAAAAAATGAATCCTGTTGTTCTTACCACATCCTCGGGTGAGTTTTCCTCCACTGGTTTTGGCGCAGGTGGCCCTCTTCGCACTGGCTTGCCCATAATTAAGGGGACACACAACAGTCCCAGTACTAATAATAGCCTTGGTAATCTGTAGTCTCCCATATTGATGATAGAGTAGTGTCCTGAACTGCGAAATATAAACCAGGGTGACTATGTTTATAACTTGAATGAATAAAAAGCAAAATTTTCAACAAAAATGGGAAGAACAAAGACTAATGACATTCTTTACTATTTATAGAGGCACCTTGAAATAAATTCTCCCACCCCCAATCTGGCAACAAGTCACGTGTATCTCAAAGTGAGTGGAGAACGGGTTTGTGTGGGAGTGTGTCGGGGGGGGGGGGGGGGGGGGGGGGGCCCCTATTAAAGGTGGACGGGATAAAAGCAGCACTCCCCCCCCCCCCCCAAGACTTAGACATTGGTAATGTGTCAGGGTGATTATATTTTATTATAGGTACTTGTAGGCTCCTAATTATATGTCTAAATTTCATGTAGTGTTAGTAGTTACCCACCTACAGCAATCTCAACAGTCAACAGTAGAATCGAGATTGGGTTATAAACCGTAATGATGGTAGGCCTAAATAAAACGACGATGTGGCTAGCTGTACTTTAGCCTGCCAGTCTAGCCGTAAGGTTCTAAAAATAGGCCCTTTTGACCGAAACCTGTTGAGTACACAGGTCTCATTAGATCTAGTCTCTAGTAATTATTCAGATTTAAAATACATACAATGTGTATCAGTAAGGCACCTTTTGGTTTCTTTTAAAATGTAAAAATACTCTAGGTACTGCAAACTAAAATTTTATTTACAATTCAGCCATCATTATTTTAAGTACGGCAGGCCTGCCAGTCTAGGCGTACTTAGGTAGGCCACATTGACCGACCCTGTGTAATCATTCAGGTTTAAAATGCACGCACTGTCAGTAAGGCACCTTTTGGATTCATCTCAATTACAGATCTACTTTAGAGGCATTGCAAACTAAAAATTTATACACAATTTTGAGTAGGCCTGTTTTTTGCTGTTCGTCAATCTAGCCATCATTATTACGTATGATTATTTGGCTCGCCTAGCTGCCTAACCGTCATTTGAGTAAAAAACAAAACAACAACCAATTTTTAAAAGAAATGATGAAAAAACTCTTCTTGTACAATGACATTGTTTTTGTTTTTTCCGCTTTTGGAATCTGTCTGAATTAATAGGGAAGCAAGAGTTTAGAAATCTGATTCTAGCTAAGTTTCAAAACGCCAGACTGTCCAGACACTCCATGTATAAAAAATGAAGTGACTATATTCTATTCAGATTACGAAAGACAAAAATCATATTCAGATTCTGAATTTAGTCCAGCATGACGTCCGTTCTGACTTCCAACCCTTGTTCCTAAATATTTCCAGCATATTTAAAAGAACATTTTTCGATTTATAATGATAACAATTGAGAAGTGAGCTTTAATAATACAGATTCCAATTACTAGAAATCTAGATCTTAGATTAAAACTGGCCCTCCCTGCATCATTAGTTAGTTAAGTTAAGTATGAACAGAACAACTAAGTTGAGTTGACCTTGCCGGGGGCAAAGTTAATTATATGTCGACAATGAGGATATTGCGCTTAGCTATCACACATGCTCGGCTTGCTCGAGGGAAGAGGTGTTTGGAAGAGGCCACCACGACTGTCGATTTTGTGCGATGCGATATTTAAAAAATTTACAGAAAAACCAACAGATCTATACACAACAAAATGAAATTGTGGAAAGACAAATGGTAGTGGAAGTAATGATGATGATGCTGTAGTGGTGGTGGGAAGACCCTGAGACTGAGTTGTCGGTTACCGTGTTGCCTACTAGATCTAGATCTAGACACTTCACTGCCATTGGGCTTGGGCAATGAGAGTGCAGTCTTTTGACTTTTGAAACAATTGTAAGTAATTCTAGAATCTAGATCTAGAATCTAGTTCTAATTCTGGTTTTACGTAAAATCCCCCGATGACAGTTATATTTTTAACCTCCTGCTTACACTCATAAAATACTCACTTTTAGAAGTAGAAGTGGAGTCCGATAGAGCTGGTCTGTAGACAGTAAAATACCAACCCACAAATACCTTTTTAAATTAAAAGTAACTGAATACTTCAACAAGTGTTGGGGATTATGGAAGATCTTAACGCCACCTGTACATCTAGCCACATCATCATGGTGCTTATGACGATAAAAATATAATTAGATTCTAATTAGGACATAAAAATATGATGATATTATAATTATTACAGTTACAGTGACTCCACTGACTGACCTACCCTACCTACACTCCATCACTTTCATTAGACCTGACAACGGGAAATCAATCTGTAGGCTAGATCTCATGACCCAACGATAAAATCTAACAATCTGAAATGTGTGCACAGAGTCAACGATATATGATATAGATCTAGATTAGAATCTATATGTTACCTTTCGTATGAAAAGTTTCCGTAAATGAATCCTGCTAGGGATTATCGTCACCAAACAAATCCTTGCAGCAACCGGATGAAGACGTGTACCAGGGGAAGTCACTGTCGTCTGTTCCCTGCCCACGACCTGTTCATCCTTAACGCGCAATCCCAGAATCGATACAAACAGATTCCGACTTTAGGCTCAAATTACCATTTGGAGTGTGATTTATATTTTCAGCTTCCGGCCGATAAGCCAATAGGCCTAAGGGAAGTCACTCTAGCTGTCGACAAGTTTGTTTTGGTTTGACGTGACGACGTAAAAATGCTGCTGCACTGAATACTTGTTGTGATCCTATTCCAGTTTCAAATTAAGTGCGATTGTGAATCATGAGCAAATGAAATAATTTTACTGGTATCTAGATCTAGATCTAGATCTAGATCTAAATCTAGATCTAGATCTATTTAAGCCTGAAAATGTGTTTCTATTGTTGGCACAACATCAAAATCAGTGATTTAACTTTTAACTGATTCCGTCCATGATTTTTTCAAGCTCTGGACAGAATTATTTTTCCCTGTTCAGTTTTAGACCTGGGGTGCATCTATTTAATGCATTACTGTGAAGCTCTAAGTTACTCTAATATATATTGTCATATAGAGAGTCTACCAAACTGATGGGAATCAATAGAGGAATCTGTTTATATCAATAACTGTGAGCTATAAGTATAATCTGTTTGTTTGTATAGCATTTTCCTTCGGACAAAAACGAATGAGAAAAAAAATTGCGCAACAGCTCTTCGAAAATTTCGACTTACCGCATTTTGTCAGCTCTACACGTCCTTATAATCCCTAGGAATCAACACAAAATTGTAGCGATATCACCCTAGCCCTAGCACACATTTATATGCAAGAATTTCACAAATTTAGTTGAATATCTTTCTTTGATGGGCCTTTTTATTATCAGGCTCCGTGTTGTTTACCCTTAGATCTAGCCTACATAGTGACAACAAAACAACGATTTTTGCAAGAATTTCGCTGTTTCGATCGATATTGGCGCTCAGAGATTGAGGTCAGGTTTGTTTACAAGTTCTACTTCCAAAGATTAGCATCAAGTTACTATACAATCAAAACTGTCGAAGACGGCCACCCGTTGTGAAAGAGGAAAATGGTTGTCCTAGACAGGTGGATGTCGTTCACAGTGTCATCTTACATAATGTTAAACAATAAATATGCAAGGGAGGAAATGGGAAGTGTCCACTTTTAAAGGTGATTGTCTTGTACAGGTGGCAGTTGGAACAGGTTTGACTGTATTTTAAGTTTATTCTTCGGTTTTGTTTTCCTACAGATGGAGTGGAGAAAGCTGATGTGCCAAAAGTTTGGGAGGAGGGCCAGCAAAAAGTGGTGTGCGGCAGCAAAGAACATCTTGCTGGTTGATAAGGGAATCAAACAGACACTGTTGTTTGACCACTGGGCAGTCAGTGCCCAGGAGATGGAGGACTTCCTGTTGACCTCTCATGATGCACGACTCACAGAGAACAGAATCTTGACCTTGACTGTTGGTTTGGACATATTTTTGTTTCGCTGCGGTGGTGGGGATGGAGCTCTCGTGTCGTGGAGTTTTCTCTGTGACGATGGCACGAGGCGGCCGCAAACGTTCATCGATGTGTCGAAAAGACTGGAACTTCCTGTCATTTTGAATGAGGATGATGATCGGATTTCTGAAACTAAACGAGTGTTTGAGGATTGTGTTCGCCAAATGACTGTTGTGGAGGGGGAAAGACAGGTGGTTCACCGGAGTGTGGACATCAGCGAAACGTTAAACGTTCCCTGTCTCTTTGGCCTGCTGCTGGGATACCCGAGTGTCTACTGGTACGACGTCAGCGAGAGCGCTGAGCATTGCCTCAGTTCTCTGCCCTTGCATTTATTCTGTGTGGAAGGAGTTCTTCAGGACGGGGTCTGTGATGTAAATTTTTCCTCTGTTGGACAAGGTAAAGTTAAAGACTCGGACTCTGAGAAAAATCGCAATTGCGCACAATTACCTGTCTCGACTTGTTCTGGCAACAATGGAAAGGCTAAAAATTATGTCACAGAGTTATCGACTACAGTATCCAAAGTAAAGGACTCTTCAGATATCCACACCATTTTGTCTTTCACTGTGCCAGAAAATGTGGTGCATTTACTCGGCTCGTCCCTTCACGAGTGGTTTGCAGAGTGGAAGAGTTGTGTTCCCTGGTCTAGAATCTTCTCCGATGTTCGTCTAAGCGAACAGAAGACTGAGCCCCAAGCTGTGTGCTTGTGACCAGCTCCGGCATTGGTCAATTATAAATAGTGTAGTTACTTTTCTTAAGGCTGACGTGATCTAGTGTGGTAAGAAGTAAGATGCACTGGTTCCTGTTGATGCTCTTGAATAAAACATAAACTGTTTAACATGCTCTTTAAGTTACATATGTACTGTTTTTTTTTTTTATGTCGGTGCTTTAATTTAAGCCCCCATGGACTCAATTTAGATCTTTTAGGAGGAGGGCTTTGACCCTGCATGTCAGGGCCAACCAATGCTGACAGAGCAGAGATATTAAACATCCCAGGAAGAAAGACTGAGATGTATATCTGATAAAAGTTCTCCCCTCGTAGAAATCGAAATTGGGTGTCCTGTGCTCGACAGCGAAGCGCCCAACTGCTAGGTCTACACCACAGACACTGGTATATTATCGTACTTGAGGTCTTCATGAATATATATAAATGTTTGTATGGGTAAATAGAAGTACACTGATACTGATACCAAGTAACGGACATTTCCTGCAGGGATAAATTGAGGCCTACAGACAGAAATAGACAGAGAGGAAGATAGAGGTGAGTTTGTTGTGTCAATGAGCCTCTCCTTACGCTTTACTCAAACAAACGAATGTCCCCAAGACTGGATGTGTAGCTTAAATTGTCGTTTTGTCCTAATTTTTATAGTCTGTCTACTCTAAAGGTATCATGTGACGCAATAACTATATTTTATGAAGTCAAAAGTTAGAACAGTTCTCAGAAGCCTCAGTTATAAAATATTTTGTAAGCGCACAGAGCTTGCTGTGTAGAGCGTGGAATATGTGCTATATTATAACAAATCTTTCCTACACCTAAGGCATACAAAGAATCGCAACATTTCCCCAATAAATTTCGGAAAAAACTCCTTGCTTGTTTTGTTTTTTCATTATTTAAAGCGACTTTTCTGTTGTTCTGTTCATATTGTAATTGTTGTATAGTTACACCTTTTAGGTCATTGTCTCCATTACTCAAGCATTTATTAAGGGTTGCTATTGATGAAATACTTCTTTGAATCTACTTCTTGAGAGAGGAGTCCTGTAGTTTTGTGACTGGGTGGTCTACCTTCAAAATCAACTATGCTTGGTCCCATAAGTCATCCCACATTTCAGTTGAGAGGCGATATGGTATTGTGAAAAAATGTGCAGGCCAAACGATCAGTTAATCTGACTCGTGAAGCAAGGGCTGGAGATGAAGGGAAATAACCGAGTAAAAGGCTCGACCACCACAAGTACTAAAACAAGAATGCCCATACCTCCAGCTCAACATGGTCCATGGTGTTTTTTTTCTCTTTTTGTATTTGTTTTTGTTTGTTTTAGGTTTGTTTTTGTTTTGTTTTTTTGGTGTCGTTTGTTTGTTCCTTTTTTCTATTTTTGGCAAGTGTTAACCTTTTTTACCCTAAGATCAGGGGTGTGGCTGAAAGACAGCAGTAAGAAGGGGCCAATGAGTAGCACACCAATGAAACCAAACTTCTTCTATAGGTAGAGCAAAGTCCACATTTGGTGTAGGTCAAGATTTTTGGAAACCCCTGAAATCCGAGTTTGCCCGCTTGTCCTTAAAAGCGGCCAATTATCATTCATCCTTCGGACACACAGACACTTTACATCAAACTGTCCCTGTGGTTTTATGCACCCCGCATAATTTAGCAAAATTCGATAATTTTTTGCATAATTTCTGATTATTTTCCTTTATCATTCTTTGTTAAAATTAACAGAATTGCATAATTTCACATTTTTGTGCTCATTTTGCATAATTTCACATTTTTGTGCTCATTTTGCATAATTTCAGAATTTTTCTAGCATAAAACGACGGGGACAGATAAAAGGAAAAATCAGGTCATTGCATGTTATTGTTTTATTTATTGAAACATCTCCAGTGATTGGCTTGCCACGGCAAACCCACACACAGACCATGTGCACGCACATACATACATACATACGCGCACACATACACACTCACAAATCACTAAATAAGTCTCACAATGGTCGACAAAAGACAAGCATAATTTCCACACGAAAAAATGGGGGATTTCAAGAATTTCAGTTCTGAAAGAAGAATTAAAGAAGCAGGGCCTACTACTACTATCAAAACTGAGGCATCATTTCCACACAACATTATTCTCCCTCTAACTGTTAGTGTTAGCTTCAACGGATCAAGGAAATTTGAATTATTATTTGTATTTTATAACTGAAAAACCACACACACACACTCAAAACAAAAACCAATGCACATATCTTCATCAAAGACAGTTTGTTCCAAAGGCAGCTAAATTGTTAATTTAAAAATTAAACCTAACAAGCCCCTAGCTGTACTCTATAAAAATTATGTGGCCGGCACCGTGGTGAAATCAGGTGCTCATGGACATATATTATATGTAATAAAACCAGAGATACTGGCATTTTTCTGCCCTTATGGTAATTCTTATTTTATTTTTTTTCCAGCTCAGAACCTTTAATGTTCATTGAAAAACACATTTCGGTGTGGATTTTACTGAAAAATGTTGACCAAAAGAACCCAAAAAAATATGTAAAAAATATATCTGTAAATTAACTGTTTACAAAGTTAGTCAAACTCTGGAAGTCAACCAATATGGCGGCTAGTTTCTCATTAATTCTACCTCTGACACAGGGTGACCCTCACAGGGTGACCCTCACTCCTATTTTAAAAAAATAATCTCAACGTCTATTCAAGATGGAAGATGGGTATTTTTCTCATCCAAAGCAAGAAAAATGAACAAGCTTTCAGATGACACCACCTGTAACTCAATCTCAATATAATGCCCCAAAATTGACGAGCGCCCGATTCCATTGTGTCGCGGTGACACAAATTATGTACCGTACTGAAACACTGCTTGTGGGCCAAATCTGACCCGCGGGCCGTAATTGATCCACGCCTGAGGTACAATACAGCGGTAAAGCTCTGACCAATATTGCTCCGATTATATGAAACGAGTAAAGCTTGAGCCAAGCATTGTGTGGCAGTTTCAGTTAAATCTATCTCTCACTCTCTCTCTCTGACTCCGAGATGTGCTAGAGTACACAAGGAGGAGTAATAATTAATTAAACAAGTATCAGAAATACTTTGTATAAATTCATAACACGTACATGATAGCAAAATTCATATACGTAACAGAAACCATTTCTACATCACGTCGATTTTGCGATACTATGTAGGCTATATATGTGCGAGACTGCAGTATTTTGATAATCAACAGCACATAATCATTTTTCAAGTTACAATGTGAATCTTGACCCCAAAACAAAATCTACGGTGACCCCTTGATTGTACAAATGAATTGAGCGACTTGTGGAACATTTGTGAGGCAGCGTGGTGAAATCAGGCACTCGTCAAAACTATTAGATCAAAGAAAACAGCATCTTTCTGGACGTTGGGCAATTTATTTTCAATTTGTTTATTTTCAACTCAACACCTTTTATGTCCATTCAAAAACGCATTTCTGTGTGGATGTTACCGGAAAACGTTCATCAAGGACCCTCAAAAAATGTAAATTTTCAGTTTCCAAGCATACCCAAGGTTTGGAAGTCACCAAACTTCGGTAGTAATTTTCCCATTAACTTTACCTCCCATACCAGGTCAACCAACCATCATCAATACCAAAAATCTCGACTTCTATTCAAGATAGATTGGTATTTTTTTTTCGCCAAATGCAAGACAAATGAAGAAACTTTAAGTCGATATTAATAACTCTATAAGCCCAAATATTGAAGAGAGCCTGATTCCACCACGTCGTGACACATTTATTTGTCTCGAGAGGCGGTCGTAGCTTTGTGGACAGACACATCACCTCAGGACAGTCCACGGCTGATATGTCAAGGTCCAGGTGGTCGTTCAGACATACGGTTAGGCTACATATAGTGATGATAAAATGATGTCTAGGTGGGCAGGTAGAGGAGGAGGGTTTGTTTTGTGTGGACGACGCAACACACACGCACACACTCTGATATCTCTCTTTTAATACACATACACGTACGCATGCACCCATCCACGTACACGCACGCACACACACACACTCTCTCTCTTACATATACACGTACGCCCGCATGCACGCACGCATCCACGCACACACACTCTCTTACACATACACGTACGCACGCACGCACGCACCCATCCATGCACACACACACACTATACGCACGCACATGCAAACTCACACCTTCTAGTAGTAGTATAAGGTTTTACGGCGCTCGCAACTGCTAAGGTCATATGAGCGCGCGATCACACCTTCAAAGCATAATAATGGCTCAACATACCACACGCACATAATGCAACTTATTTTACTGGCACAACATAACATACAGAGACATATAATTATATATACACACGGTGAAGGTTGAAGGTAAAACATGAGCGTGCGCGCGCACACACACACACACACGAGGTGTGTAATGACTCAATGTAGTAGCACACGCAAAAATGTGATGGCTCAACAAAAAAAAAAAACAACCCCCACACACAAACATGTGCGTACCCATGATGGCGCAAAGTCACACACACACACACACACACACACACACACACAAACAGTGTGCTGGCTACAAAATAGGAAACAAAAAAAACCCCACACATCATACAGAGACACACACAAACACACAATGTGTGCGAGTACCTTTAACGGCTTTAAAACACACAACCCAACACAACACATATACACACACAAACACGCAGACACACAAACACATCATCATAATGAATGGCGGTAAAAGTAAAACAAAGCCAGAACCAGGGTGACGAGCAAGTCTCAGGAGTGACAAAAGAAAAGAATAGATCTACCACCACAACGCTCACAGACGCTGACACAACCCTAGAGAAGGAGCTAGACAGAGCAGACCCCTCCAACGAGACCAAATATTAGGAGTTTCTCCTCAGAATCCTTCCTATTCAATGATAATGGAATTTGCAGTTGGTAAAAAAATCGTGAGTCTTCAGAACTGCAGTAGATTATACGGTTATCTTACGAACCGACCATGGCAAATAAACCTGTGTATCGCAAATATATGCATACATATCTATATATATCTATACATATTATATATATATATATATAATATATATATATCTATATATATATCTATATATATATATTTATGTTCACGTCATTGATGAACAATGATGCAAATATTGCAAATAAACCTGTGTTTTTTCCACGTTATTTACAAGTTGCATACGACCGATAGAAATGAAATGCAAGAAAAAAATCAGATTTTACGCAAATCCTATAGGGGTTCTTCAACGGGAAAAAAAATAATAAATTGGAGGGCTCCGATTATTATCAGAGTACTGTACGGGGTAGGTCTGCATTTTAGGAACTTCTGAAGCAGAATGTCGGGGATAGTGAAAACTCCAAGCCATGCCTCACACTACCCTCATCTGTCGATACTGTAAGTCAGATCACAGCATCTCTCTCTCTCTCTCTCTCTTGCTCTCTGTCTCGCTCTCTGTCTCGCTCTCTCTCTGTGTCTGCCTGTCTCTCTCTCTCCACCTCCCTCATTTCTTACACGTGCACACAAACACCAAACACACAAACAATATGTAGCCTTATACAATTACAAAACGCAGAAGGAGCACAGCACATCCACACACACACATATCCACATACACTGTAACAAACACACAAACATACACTGTAACAAACACACAAACATACACTGTAACAAACACACAAACATACACATATTATACCAAATCGAAATTTATACACTTGCGACACACGTGCCAGTAGAAGCTCAGCAAGATGTCCTGGTATACCGGTAAAAATACATAAAAGATTCATACATATATAATATATATATACAAGGCGTGTACACAAAGCTGCAAGTATCAAGTATCAAGTATTCGAAGAAGGGAAAAAATAAAAATAAAAAGCTCAGTTTGATTTTCTGTGTCCAAGTATCTTATAATCACACAGTCTAACACGCACGTAGCGAATAAACACAAAAGCGAACTCGTACATGATAGATAGCTCTAGCGAAATGCACACGTAGCAAACAAATTTTCAAGTCCTGAATTATTTCTTATAACACGACGTTCCATATGTTTTTGTATTTAAAACACACATGACATACAAAGCAAAATTCGTAAAAATATTTCAGCATTCCGTCGAATTCGCTGTGTGCGCGCTAGACTGTGTACCGTATGTATGTACAAATATGAAGGAGGAGACAAGTGGTACATACATAGCACGCATTCGCATATCATTTGTATAGAGCTAACTATACAACATACTGCGGGGAAGGAAAAACAAATTTAAAAGTGATAATTGTGAATGGACATGAGGAACATTGCAACACTTTCAGCGACACATAAAAATGTTATACCGTATCCTCATGATGATTGGGTTTTAGTTTTATGAAAATTTTTACGGCACTTGCAACACAAATAGAGGTCATATATAAGTGATGATAAATGAAAATATGTAAATGCTTATCAGAATGAGAGAAGCAGCAGAAGCACAAGAAGAAGCTCTGGGAATCATTTAGGAGGCGGGCTTGCACTCAAGAGAACCAACGGTAAGACAGAGCCAGGGCTTGGGATGATACAACATACACGCGGTCACATTCACACATACGACGGTCTGGATGTGTGCATAGAGGAGTTGATCCTGAGCTTATTTCTTTGTTTTATTTGAGTGAACAGAAATACTACATCGATA